AAATTTATGAAAATTGTATTTTAAATAATTGCATTTCTGTGAAAATTTTATTTTTTATAAAAATTATTGAATTATTAAAACGTATCTTATTATTAGAATTTTTAGAAAAAATTGAAATTCTGAGATGAGTTTTATTATTTATGAAAATAATTGAATTCTCGCAACAAATGTTTAAAAAAAATTGAATTTCTCCGAAGAATTTTATTATTTTTGAAAATAATTATTGAATTCTTGTATAAAATTTTATAAAAGTTTTTTTTAATAATTGATTTTTTTGAAAAATTTTATGAAAATTGTATTTTAAATAATTGAATTCATGTCAAAATTTTATTCTTTATGAAAATAATTGAATTTTCGCAAAGAATAGAATCCAATTTTTTTTTTAAATAATATGATTATTTTGGGAAATTTTATTAAAATAGTAAATATTGGAAAATAATTGAATTTCGAAAAATTTTGAAAAATTGAACCGTTTGAAAGAACATTATTATAATTTTTGAGAATAATTTGTTTATTTTAACTGCTAGGTTTAATTTTGCAAATTCTGAAAAAAGAAAAAAGTAGATCGAGAAAAGTATTCAAATAGCAGCAAGTCTAAAAAAATTGTTAATAGTAGGTTTTACACTGAAAAAAAAATTAATTTGATTCAAATAACCGATTAATTGACTATTATCAATTAAATATTTAATTGAATCAAATAATATTTATTGGATTCAATTAAATGGTATTTTCTTCAAATACTGAAATTACTGGTTCAAATACCATTTAATTGACTCCAATAAATATTATTTGATTCAAGTAAATATTTAATTGATAATAGTCAAGTAAACGGTTATTTGAATGAAATAAATTTTTTTTCAGTGTAGTAAATGAGTGCGAAGCCTGTTTTCATTTTCTTCTCAATAATTTACCAATTTAAAAAAAGAAAATCTCAAATGTTCCATTAAAAAAAATCTACCAAGTTTATAATTTAATTGTAAAATTCCTACTTATTTTTTTTACGAAACAAGTGAATTTTTTGTACGCATTTTTCCATTACATATATCAATCCATCTATGTCCTTCAAGAAAAGTCAAAAGCCTTGGATATTTTCCTTTAATAAAATCTCAAATGCAGAAAAGTGACTATAAGGACTTTTGTACACGAGAAAACAAGCAAAAAAAAAGAAAAAAAAGAAAAAAAGAAGAAGAAAAAGGAAGAAAAAAAGTAGACACAGAAGAGACGGCAAAAGACAAAGGTACGACAAAAAGAAACGAGAAAGAAAGATCATTTTTCTCTGGCGATGCTGAAATATAGCGTGGAAAATAACGAAAGCAAGGAAGAGAAAAAGAGAGACACTATATAGCGGAGACGCTAACTGAAATTAAAAGCGACCAGCTGCGTTTTCACCACCTCGTAATATTCAAAACTCGTAAAAGTCCGTTATTAAATTCGAATATCGTGCAAAGAAAGACGTACATTATTAAAAAAAAATTGTCTCAATTTTCAACCTCTAAATCAATAATATCGTCGAATCAGCTCTAGAAAAATTTACATACACACCATATTCTCTTTTCAATCTCTTTAACAAATACTTTTTTAGAGAAAAAAAATTCCTTCTCAATTTTTCTAAGAGAGAATTGCAAAAAAAAATCAAAAAAATGTCACTACATCAAATAATTACTAAAACAAGAATGTTGAAATAAAAAATTTTTCATCTTGTTTTCCATGCAATATTTACAACGAAGGACAAAAAAAAATATAAATTTATGATCCCTAAAATATGAAAGGTGTATTGCTTTAGACTCTACATGTACATTCACCTACTCAGTGGAAAGAAGCACATATTTCTTTCACATTTTAAGCGACGAATGTGTTGTGTGCTTTCAACACAAGATAAATTTTCATATCCACATGACAGGAACAATAAATCGAAACTACATACTCCTGTTATTTTTCATGTTTCACAGTTATTTGTCGTTCCAGCAAAAATTTTCATTAATTTTTAATATAATGTAAATAATTTTCGTTATTACTAGAAATACCGTATAATATCTATAAATAATAGATCTTAGTAAATAAAATAATACTCTCCAAATTTGAATCAGTTAAAAAACTGCTTTAGAAGCAAAAAGTCATTCTAAACTGAGTTTTTCTAATTAATTTAAGGTAATAAAAGAGGGGAAAAGAGAAAAAAAGGTGATCTCTAATTAATTATAAATATATACTCCGAAAAAAAAATTTTTTTATTCAAATAAACGATTATCTGTCTATTAAAAAATAAATATTGTATCAAAAAATGTTAATTTTCAATTTTCATAAGGAAATAATTTACATAATTTCTATTTCTTAATTACAATTGTGTTTTAATAATATTCAAACTTTTCAAAAATAAAGGTAAAATTTTTTTTATAAATTCTATTTGTCAATTACAAATTTTAATTAAAAATGAAATTGAAACTTTTTAAATTTTTAGAAAATAAAGGAAAAAATTTTACTCAAAAAAATGTTCTGTTATTTTTATTTATGAATTTCTTTCATTGTAAAATTATTCAAAAACATTAATAACTTCTTTTTTAAATAAATATTTAATTATTATTATTTTTCTATAGGAATTAAGATTTTCAAAAATTTCAAACTCAAACCTTTTTAAAAATTAAACAACTTTAAAAATATTTCTTCATTTTTTATAATAATTAAAGATGAACGAGAGGTAAAATAATTATTTTATATTATAAGAATATTGTTAATGTAACTTCGTCAAAATTATTTTTATATTCAATTATTAAATAAAATTTAAACTAAAATTCATTTTTAAATCAATTTTTCTTAGAAAATTCTACAAGAATTCAATCATTTAAATACTAAAATAAATTATTTTTTGAATAATTGAATATTTCTTAAAATTTAATTAAAATTTAAAATTTAATTCTTATAAAGAATTTTATTACCAAATTTTTAAATAATTGAATTCTTTCGACGAATTTAAATAAAATTTTTAAATAATATATTTACATTTTTCAGGAAATTTGAGTAAAATTGTATTAAAAATAATTGAAATTCTGCGATGATTTTTTTTATTTATGAAAATAATTGATTTTTGCAAAGAATTTTACTATAACTTTTAAAAATAATTTGAATCCTGCGATAAGTTTTATTATTATGAAAATAATTGAATTCTTGGAACAAATTTTACTAAAATTTTTAAATTAATTGATTTTTTTGAAAAATGTTATAAAAATTATATGTTAAATAATAATTGAATTGCTGTGAAAATTTTATTCTTTATAAAAATAATTGAATCCTTAAAACGAATCTTATTATAATTTTTTTAAATAATGAAATCCTGAGATGAGTTTTATTATTTATGAAAATAATTGAATTCTTGCAAAGAGTTTTACAATAACTTTTAAAAATAATTGAAATCCTGAGATAAGTTTTTTTATTTATGAAAATAATTGAATTCTTGCAAAGAATTTTACTATAACTTTTAAAAATAATTTAAATCCTGCGATGAGTTTTATTATTATGAAAATAATTGAATTTTTTGAACAAATTTTATTAAAAATTTTAAATTGATTGATTTTTTTGAAAAATGTTATGAAAATTTTATGTTAAATAATTGAATTCCTGTGAAAATGTTATTCTTTATGAAAATAATTGAATTCTTGAAATGAATCTTATTATAATATTTAAAAGTAGTAAAGATATTAAGAAATTATTGAAATGAGGAAAATTTTTGAAAATAATTGAATTTTGAAGAACAATTTTAAATATTTATAAAGATAATTGGGATTTTGTTGAGATTTTGTTCAATTTTGAACATAATTGAATTTTGTGATAAGAATTTTATTATTTTTGAAAGTAATTGAATTTCTGCAATCATTCGTAACTTCTTCAAAATTCAAGTTTTTTAAATAAAATTCTTCTGTAAATCTATTATTCTTAATAATTTATTAAATATTCATGGAAAAATTTAACTAATTTTAATTATTAATAGTTATAATAATAACTATATTCCAATTCATATTTTATTTTTATTAAAATAAATTCGAATTAAAAATTTTTACTTTCTATTATTTTCAAAATTGCTAATTTTATTATAAAATGTAAGTAAAAAGCTAGTTAAAATTAAAATATAATTATTATTTTTAAATTATTTAATTAAAGTAAATATTTTATTTGATAATAGATAAGTAATCATTTATTTGAATCATTTTTTTTTTTTGAGCGATAATATAATAAACATTAACATAAATATTGTAATAAACAAATACTTTCAAATACCTATAATGTATGCAAGAAAAAACCCTCCAATTTTGATAAAATCCTGTAACGAATTTCCTATTTTCTTTTTTTTTATATTTGAAACAAATTTCCGGTTTAAATCAACATCGGTGTTTATATTCGGTTCTTCAATTAGTGGATGGGTTGGAGTATACTTAAAGCCCTTTCTATGTGATTCGTGCTTGCTTCTTTTTATTCTATATACTTATAGGAATTCCCAAGCATTTAGAAGGAGAGGGGGGAAGGTGGATCTAATTCTATGATTACGATAACATTCTTCAATCTACTATCAAAAGGATCGGAAAATCTCAGTTGGATAGGAAACAAAATGAATGGGAAACTCTCCTTGAATTCTTTCTATTGAAAGTTTTGAATGCGGCGAGTGTGCCTACGGCTCAAAATATTCTGATTAATTACGTTTCTATTAAATAATTCTACAATGCTGTTATTTATAATAATAATCATAGTAATTCTGGGTTGCCACAAAAATTTAATTTTGTTTATCCCTGACTTTTCCCTGATTTCCAGACTTAGTTTTGATTTTTTTCCAGACTCTAAAGAACCCCTAAAGATAAGTACTTTTGATAAAATTCCCTAAATTTTCCCTCATTTCCCTGACCTGTCAATTGCTAACGATATGTTCGATATCATAATCTAAGACTTCCTTTAGGCATCAAAATTTACTGTAATGTAAAAGTCTGATGTTTTTTTAAAAATAATATTAAAAGACTCACCTCTTTATTTCTCCTCGTTGCAAGAAGATCTGCGTTGAAGAAACTGGATTTTTTTAGAAGAAACTGGAATCGTACAGGAAAATATTTTTCTGAATCCTTTCGTAAATTTTAGTAACTGATGATTTATCGAGCAAGCTGACAGTACAAAGAAATAAGACCCTTGTCGTTCAAAGAGTCTGGTGATGCGTCTTTTCTCAAATGACACCTGCAATTAGAAAGAAATTTGTAATTAAATTCCGAGTAGTGTTTAAAGTTAGGCTAACGATATGTTCAATAGCTAAATTTAATATTTTTATGGCAACTCTGTAAATATTATCATTACAATGAAAAAAATATATTTGCTTCAAATAACTGAATACTTGACTATTAACAAACAAATATTTATTTTTATCAAATAATTTCTATTTGAGTCAATTTATTTGACTTTTTTTTAAATTTATAATTTGCTTCAAATACTATAATTATTGTTTCAAATAAAATATATTTGATTAAAATAAAAATTACTTGAATGAAGTGAATATTCATTTGATAAGAGACAAGTTGTCGGTGATTTGAATCAAATAAATTTATTTAGTGTATAATTATTATTGTTATTATTATCATTTTTATTTTTACTTTTATTGTTATTATTAATTTACAATTATTATACAGATGCACTATTATAATCACCAGTTTTATTCTTTTTATTATTTTTGACAATTATTGATACATTTTTATTTTCAACATAATTTAAAAATACTTTTCATATATCGTATACGTTTTCTTCAATTCCAAAAAATTTATAATTGCAGTCACGCAAACTGCATTAGTTTAAGAAAATAGTGGCCAGTTTATTATGTATGAAATAAAAATGCTTAAAAGATATGCCGTGAATTCTCGAATTTTGTTAGTAAAAATATCACGTGCAAGGATTTATCTTGGATTCCGGATTGTGTGGACGGCTTATAGGAGCCTTCTGGTTATGTGGTTAAATACACATTTTATCTTTCAAATTGTATAGATATTTAGAGGTGCAGTATAGCTCGCTACATTTTTCAGTAAAAAAAAAAATGAATAAAAAATATCGATAATAAATAAAAAATGTACATAATTCTATATCGAGCATATATTATTATAAAAGAAAAATTATTTTCAAATAACTACATCATATACTGAATATTAATATTATTCTTCTGACGAATATATTAATTAAAAAAAACATGTTTGATTCAGCAAATAAAAAAATACTAAATGAAATATTTTACATTAATAAATATTTGCCAAAAAGAAGTTAATAGAGAAAATTAATTACGCTCCAATAAATTTTATTTCACAGAAAAATTAATGTATCAATATTACATATTATGCACTCCATTTCAATCATTAAAATAATTTCGAAATTATTCTCAAATATTCTGTTAAATTGAATTCGCCAAAACTGTTCCAATTAATTGCTTCTTTATAGAGAAACTTTAATTCAAAATTATTTATAAAAAAATTGTTTGTTATTTTGTTGTTATTAATAATTCGACAGATCTATAAATTATTAAAAAGAAATAATAACAAATAGTTACAATAATAATAACAATATTTTTTGCTAAATAATAGTTTTATAATGAAACTATTATTATTATCAAATAATAATAATTTTATTTCCTGAATAATAATAATAATAATAATAATAATAACAATAATAATTTTTATCAAGTCTAATAGTTAATTTGAGAATTTCGGATTAAAATAAAAATTTTTTTGGATCAAGAAAAATTTAATCTTTAAATAGGCGTTAAAATTCAAGTTTCAAAAGAAGAAGAAGAAGGTTATCAGTTATTAAACATATTTAATTATTTTTAAATGCATAAAAATATGGAAAGTTATATATTAAATATAAAACTGCATATATATACAATATAGAGTAAAAAATTTGGAATTTTTCTCATATATCAATTATGAAACATTCCTGTGATTCTACGCGTTTTAAATTTATAACGGCTTCCCTATTCGAGGAATTCAAAGAGCAATTCACAGTTTCGAACAATGCAAAATTCTACACGGCTTTTCACTCTTTCCGCATACTGAACCGACACGTGTAACTGACATTATGTATTAAATATTTTTCACTTATTGCGCACCATCATGCCAGAATCATTCAATAGTTTCAAAACCGCGGATTAAACAGGATTAAGCACTTTGTTTATAGGGGGTATATGCAATTTTCATCAGAAACAAGAATATATACATATATATATAGCAATGAAAATTATCCAATTGAAATTAATTTAAATTTAATAATATATACACTTTCATTGATTCTATTTTAGCTTTTACAGTATAAAAATGTATATATATTATATTTAAATTTGTCACTTTTGGTAAATAATTATTACTATTATTTTCCCATGGGAATTAAGATTTTCGAAAACTTCAAAATTCAAACCTTTTCAAATACAAAAATTTATAAGAACTACTCTACTTTAACTTTTACAAAATTATTTATATGTAAATTTCAATTTAATTATTTTATAGAATTTCCATATCTTACACTGAAAAAAAAATGTATTTGATTCAAATAACCGATTAATTGACTATTATCAATTAAATATTTAATTGAATCAAAAAATATTTATTCTAGTCAATTAAATGACATTTGCTTCAAATATTGAAATTATTGGTTCAAATACCATTTAATTGACTCCAATAAATATTATTTGATTCAAGTAAATATTTAATTGATAATAGTCAATTAATCGGTTATTTGAATCAATTAATTTTTTTTTTTCAGTGTACTAATTTAATTATTTTTAATCATTTTTGAGAAAGTTTGTTAAAAAATCAATTACTCAAAAAAACTGAAAATTCGCCTGAAATAATTCTGAAATCCACTTGTTTGAAATTCAATTTTACAAAATTTCATTTGTTCGAAAATTAATCAATTAAATATTCAAAACTTTAACTAATTACAAAATAAAATTAAAAATTGTTGAAAAAACAGGGTTAACACAAAAATTTAATTTTGTTTATCCCAGACTTTTCCCTGATTTACAGACAAAATTTTGACCTTTTGAAATTCAATAATTCATAACAATATTATTATAAAACATTAACATATCGATCAATAATTTTAAAAAATTCAATTAAACGTTTTCAGAAAAATAAATTGTGCAGAATTGTTAGTTAAAAATATGAAAATTTTTATTAGAAAATTCCACGAGAATTCAAGTATTTAAATAGAAAAATAAATAATTTGATTATTTATTAAAGTTTAATTCTCATAAAGAATTTTATCAACAAATTTTCAAATAATTGCATTCTGTTGACAAATTTTAATAAAATTTTTAAGAATAAATACATTTTTCGAAAAATTCGATTCAAATTGTATTAAAAATAATTGAAATTCTACTATAAGATTTATTATTTATGAAAATTATTAAATCATAATACAAAATTTTATTATTTATGCGAAAATAATTTAATTATTGCGAAGAAATTTATAAAAAATTTGAAAATAATTGAATTCCTGTGAAATTTTTATTATTTATGAGAATAATTAAATGTTTGCGTAAAATTTAAAAAAAAACTTTTTTAAGTAATTGAATTCTTTTGAAAAACTTTATTAAAATATTAGATATTGAAAATCTATGAGTTGAGAACATTTTTTGAAATTAATTGAAATTTACAAAGAATTTTATTATAATTTTTAATAATTGAATTTTGAAGAAGAATTTTATTATTTTTTTTAAAGATAATTGAATTTCTACGAAGAATTTTATTACTTTTAAAAATAGTTGAATTTCTGTAATCATTCTGCGATGAGTTTTATTATTTATCAGAATAATTGAATTTCTAAAAAGAATTTTATTATTTATAAAAGTAATTGTATTATTGTGAATAAATATATATATATATATATAAAAATTTTGTAAATAATTGAATTCCTGTGAAATTTTTATTATTTATGAAAATAATAAAATTTTTTCGTAGAATTTTATTTAAATCTTTTTTAAATAATTGAATTTTTTTGGAAATTTTTGTTAAAATAGTATTCTGCAAAGTATTTTATTAATTTTCAAAAAACTTGACTTCTTGTGATAAATTTTGATATTTATGAAAAAAATTGAAGTTTGGAATAGAATTTTATTAAAATTTCTTAAAATAATTGATTTTATGAGGAGAATTTTGTTGTTTAACAAGATAATTGAATTCTTTTGCAGAATTACTTAAGAATTTTTTGAAAATAATTGATTTTCTGCGACGAATTAAAAGTTATTTATGAAAATATTGGAATTATTGCAACGAATTTTTTTTATTTTATAGAATAATTGAATTTTTCTTAAATTTGAATTCTTTCGTCAAGTTTTAATAAAATTTTTAAGAATAACTGCATTTTTCGAGGAATTTATTTAAAATTGTATTAAAAATATTTAAAATTCTGACGTGAGAAAATAATTGAATTCCTAAATGAAATTTTCTTATTTATGATAATAATTGAATGTTTTCGTAGAATTTTATCAAAAACTGTTTCCAATAATTAAATTTTTTGATAAATTTTATGAAAATAGTAAATATTGAAAATCATTGAATTATGAAAAACTTTTGACAATAATTGAAATTTTGCATAGAATTGTATTTAAATTTTTCGAAAATAATTGAATTTTTAACGAAAAATTTTGCTATTTATAAAGATAATTGAATTCTTGACAAAATATTCGTTAAAATTTTTTAAAATAATTAAATTTCTTCGAAGAATTTTATTACTTTTAAAAATAATTGAATTCTTTTGATGAATGTTGTTATTTATAAAAATAATTTAATTTTACAATGAATTTTTTTTAAATTCCTAAAAATAATTGAATCTTTGTAAAGAATCTTGTCATTTATCAAGATAATTGCATTAAAACTTTGAAAATAATTAAATAATATTAAAAAATTAATTCTGGTCAGAAATAGAAACAAATTTTGAAGGTTTTGTATTTTGTTTCCGAGGCAAACAAAAAAAACACTAAAAACTCAGAATTTTCTTATGAATTTCAAAAATTTAATTTTTTCCAGTACTTTTAATAAAAATCCCTAACTTTTCCCTGAATTCCCTGACCTGTGGCAACCCTGATGAAGATTCGTCCGAACGCGAGCTTTCACAAACCAAAAGTCCTTACGCACCATTTAAGAGTGCAGTGTAAATAGAAAATACAGAAGAAAAAGGGGATAAAAGAAGAAGAATTGAAAAGATAGAGATGAAAGTAGTAACAAACGACTAATAATTCCTATAAGAAAAATCCTAGTTTACTTCAAAAGATACCTTCACTTTAGTGTCGATTTTCTTTTTCTTTGAGTCACTGTTATAGATGAAATACAATAAAATTGCTTATAACGTAATATGATACCGTACATAAAATTTCAAATTGAGAAATATTGAAAAATTTATATGGTGTACGGTTTCTCCAAGTGTTGAATTCCCAGTAGAGTCTCGCGCGTACTTTTGCGGATTTACGCTCGGTTTAGTTTTAAGTTCAAGCGCATATGTTACTCTGAAAAGTTTTTGAGGACATTGACCAACTAGAGGAGTAGAATAAAACATTCTCGTGTGACTTGCGAGAGTTGCGCTATATACATACACACTATATACATATATATAGAGTATAAAAGAGAAAAGAGACATTCGTCTTAGCCGACAGAGGATTATGTTTGCAAGTGATCTCATGCAAGGAATACCATAAATTTTCCTCTCTTGTGGCGAAAAGGCTCTTCGCTTGCTATAACAAACGAGCACATAACAGAGGCTAAACCCGCGCTCCGCGGCCAGAAGCAAAACGCTAGCAATTTGGTTAATGCGCCGGTTTTAATGAAGGTGTGGTGTTTGCATTGAGACACGGACTCTTAGTGAAAATAATTAATCTTCACCTAGGATAAATACAATTATCACGTACACTCATTGCACTCTAAATTGATAGTTGTGGAATTATTTATTTTTTCAATTTTTTAATTCTTTTCCCTAAAAAAATTATAATCAGGGTTGACACTCAACCTGGAAACCTGGAAAACCTGGAAATGTCAAGAAATTTTATAAACCTTGAAAAAACCTTGAAAAGTCAGGGAATTTTAATCTGAATCCTAGAAAATTATTGCCTTCTAAAATTATTGTGCTCATTCTTGAAATCTAATTTTACTTAAATATTTCAAAATTAATTCAATTTTAAAACAGGCGTTAACAATTTTTAAAAATACATAATCTTCAAAAGGATTTAATTTGAAATTTTGTAAAATTTCAATTTTGAATAAATTAATAAAATAATAAAAATTCCACAGGAATTCTATTATTTACAAATTTTTTATAACCTTCTTCGCAATAATTAAATTATTTTCATAAATAATAAAATTCTTTTTAGGAATTCAATTATTCTCATAAATATTAAAACTCATCGCGGGATTTCAATAATTTGTAAAAATTGTAATAAAATTCCTTGCAATAATTCCATTATATTCATAAATAATAAAACTGTTTGCAGGATTTCAAATATTTTTAAAAATTAGAATAAAAATTCGTTACAAGAATTCAATTAGTTTCATAAATAATAAAACTTATCACAGAATTTCAATTATTTTTAATATAATTTTAATCGAATTACGCGAAAAATGTCCTGGAAAAAATGATCCACCAGTTCCCTTAAGTTTTGCAAAAGTATTCAATTATTTAAAAAAAATTTTACTAAAATTCTACGCTAAAATATAATTATTTTCATAAATAATAAAAATTTCAAATGAATTCAATTATTTACGGATTTTTTTATAAAAAAATGTGTTTCTTCGCAATAATGCAATTATTTTGATAAATATTAAGACTCATCGCAGAATTTTAATTATTTTGAATAAATTTTAATGGGATTTCTCGAAAAATTTAATTATTCTTAAAAATTTTATTAAAATTCATTAAAAAAATTCAATTATTTTAAAAAGCCTTCTTATAATTTATTTATTAAAATTTAAGTATTATTGTCAATATATTTTTAATTAAATTTCTTGAAAGAATTAAATTATTTCCAAAAATTTTAATGACATTCTTTTTAACAATTAAATTATTTTTTCCAAATAATTTTAACAAAATTTAAGATTTCAAAGATTTTTTGAATTTTTTGAACGTAAATGAATTTCTGCAAGGAATTTTATTCCTTTTTGCAAATAATTGAATTCCTACAAATATTTATAACTTCTTCAAAATTTAATTTTTTTAATGTTTTTAACTAGAAGTCCAGTAACTTTAATAAAAATCCCTGACTTTTTCCTGATTTCCCGGACCAATTCTACTTTCCTTGCCTTTCCCCTAAAATCCCAGACTTCCCTGACCTGTATCAACCCTGTTCTATTATCTAAATAAAAATTCTCGCAGAATATTTTCCGTATGAAATTGACTCTGAAATTATTGCGCAGTCATGTCTGACTAAATTTGTATTTTATCACTGAAATCCTTTTAAAGGAACAGAAAAGCTTGCAATATCGATGAAAATGTAATTTATAACAAAGTTGTGTATACGTTTGTAAAATTAATTTTAATTTTGCTTCTAAACCTATTATCTACGTTATGTTACAACAAAAAAAAGTCTGTATTTAGTAACTCATGGAGTCGAATCGTTTTAACTCAATTTTCTATCTGGTCTGGTTTGCAATTAACTTTTTATTCAAACGTATGGATCGTACACCTCGATTTTAAAAAACGAGAGTAACATTGAATAGGAGATAAAAATGCACCTATATTTAAATTCATCTATAAATGCTAAATAGATTTAAAAAATTCTTGAATTTACTTGAAACTTCTTAAAACTTTTTTATAATTTTTTAATCTATTTTAACCTATTTAAAAAATTTTCTAACTATAATGGATGATAAAAGGTTCATGCAAAAGGTCATTATAATATATTATGCAAAAGTCTAATGTTGATTTTAAGTAATATTAAGAGACTCACGGTTTTATTCCCTCTCGTTGCACGACAAGATATTCGTTGAATAGACGAAAATTGTTGTTTTTAGACGAAATGGAACCGTATAGTAATATATTTTTCCTGAATGCTCTCATAAATTTTAATAACTGATGATCTATCGAACAAACTAAAAGTTCAAAAGTTGACAAGACCCTCTTCGTTCAAAGTATCTAAGGATGAGTCTTTTTTCAGATGGCTCCTGCAATTAAAAGAAATTTGACAATTAAATTATAAATCAATTTGGAAAAACTAAGTACAAACATAAGTAAAAATGAAAGTCTTATTTTACTACAAAAAGAATAAAACTTTTGACATATTTCACATTTCTTTTATTTTAAATATTTATTTCCTCTGTTAATAGTTAATAGTCTCCACATTTTAATAAAAAATTTAAATGTACCTATTAAAAATTATTAAAAATTCAAAAACCCGACTTTCTTAAAATTCGACATCTTCTCCTCTCTCTTATGGCATGAAAATTCATTATTTTTGGGCTCTTCAAAAACACTTTGCTTATTCAATAGTCTCCACCCTTTGATAAAAAATTGAAATCTATTAAAAATTATCAAAAATTCAAAAACACGACTTTCTTAAAATTCAACATTTTCTCTTCTCTTTTATGGCATAAAGCTTCACTATTTTTGTGCTTTTAAAAAATACTATACTTATTTGATAATCTCAATCCTTTGGTAGAAAATTGATAATGAATTAAAAATTATCAAAAATTCAAAAACCCGACTTTCTTAAAATTCAACATTCTCTCTTCTCTTTTATGGCATAAAGCTTCACTATTTTTGTGCTTTTAAAAAATACTATACTTTTTTAATAATCTCAACCCTTTGGTAAAAAATTGAAATCTATTAAAAATTATCAAAAATTCAAAAACACGACTTTCTTAAAATTCAACATTTTCTCTTCTCTTTTATGGCATAAAGCTTCACTATTTTCGTGCTTTTAAAAAATACTATACTTATTTGATAATCTCAATCCTTTGGTAGAAAATTGATAATGAATTAAAAATTATCAAAAATTCAAAAACCCGACTTTCTTAAAATTCAACATTCTCTCTTCTCTTTTATGGCATAAAGCTTCACTATTTTTGTGCTTTTAAAAAATACTATACTTTTTTAATAATCTCAATCCTTTGGTAGAAAATTGATAATGAATTAAAAATTATCAAAAATTCAAAAACCCGACTTTCTTAAAATTCAACATTCTCTCTTCTCTTTTATGGCATAAAGCTTCACTATTTTTGTGCTTTTAAAAAATACTATACTTATTTAATAATCTCAATCCTTTGGTAGAAAATTGAAAATTAATTAAAAATTATCAAAAATTCAAAAACCCGACTTTCTTAAAATTCAACATTTTCTCTTCTCTTTTATGGCATAAAGCTTCACTATTTTTGTGCTTTTAAAAAATACTTCACTTATTTAATAATCTCAACCCTTTGGTAAAAAATTGAAATCTATTAAAAATTATCAAAAATTCAAAAACACGACTTTCTTAAAATTCAACATTTTCTCTTCTCTTTTATGGCATAAAGCTTCACTATTTTTGTGCTTTTAAAAAATACTATACTTATTTGATAATCTCAATCCTTTGGTAGAAAATTGATAATGAATTAAAAATTATCAAAAATTCAAAAACCCGACTTTCTTAAAATTCAACATTCTCTCTTCTCTTTTATGGCATAAAGCTTCACTATTTTTGTGCTTTTAAAAAATACTATACTTTTTTAATAATCTCAACCCTTTGGTAAAAAATTAAAATTTATTCAAAATTATCAAAAATTCAAAAACCCGACTTTCTTAAAATTCAACATTTTCTCTTCTCTTTTATGGCATAAAGCTTCACTATTTTTGTGCTTTTAAAAAATACTTCACTTATTTAATAATCTCAATCCTTTGGTAAAGAATTGAAAATTAATTAAAAATTATCAAAAATTCAAAAACCCGACTTTCTTAAAATTCAACATTTTCTCTTCTCTTTTATGGCATAAAGCTTCACTATTTTTGTGCTATTAAAAAATACTATACTTATTTGATAATCTCAATCCTTTGGTAGAAAATTGATAATGAATTAAAAATTATCAAAAATTCAAAAACCCGACTTTCTTAAAATTCAACATTCTCTCTTCTCTTTTATGGCATAAAGCTTCACTATTTTTGTGCTTTTAAAAAATACTATACTTATTTAATAATCTCAATCCTTTGGTAGAAAATTGAAAATTAATTAAAAATTATCAAAAATTCAAAAACCCGACTTTCTTAAAATTCAACATTTTCTCTTCTCTTTTATGGCATAAAGCTTCACTATTTTTGTGCTTTTAAAAAATACTTCACTTATTTAATAATCTCAATCCTTTGGTAAAGAATTGAAAATTAATTAAAAATTATCAAAAATTCAAAAACCCGACTTTCTTAAAATTCAACATTTTCTCTTCTCTTTTATGGCATAAAGCTTCACTATTTTTGTGCTTTTAAAAAATACTATACTTATTTGATAATCTCAATCCTTTGGTAGAAAATTGATAATAAATTAAAAATTATCAAAAATTCAAAAACCCGACTTTCTTAAAATTCAACATTCTCTCTTCTCTTTTATGGCATAAAGCTTCACTATTTTTGTGCTTTTAAAAAATACTATACTTTTTTAATAATCTCAACCCTTTGGTAAAAAATTGAAATTTATTCAAAATTATCAAAAATTCAAAAACCCGACTTTCTTAAAATTCAACATTTTCTCTTCTCTTTTATGGCATAAAGCTTCACTATTTTTGTGCTTTTAAAAAATACTTCACTTATTTAATAATCTCAATCCTTTGGTAAAGAATTGAAAATTAATTAAAAATTATCAAAAATTCAAAAACCCGACTTTCTTAAAATTCAACATTTTCTCTTCTCTTTTATGGCATAAAGCTTCACTATTTTTGTGCTTTTAAAAAATACTTTACTTATTTAATAATCTCAATCCTTTGGTAAAGAATTGAAAATTAATTAAAAATTATCAAAAATTCAAAAACCCGACTTTCTTAAAATTCAACATTTTCTCTTCTCTTTTATGCCATAAAGCTTCACTATTTTTGTGCTTTTAAAAAATACTTCAATTATTTAATAATCTCAATCCTTTGGTAAAGAATTGAAAATTAATTAAAAATTATCAAAAATTCAAAAACCCGACTTTCTTAAAATTCAACATTTTCTCTTCTCTTTTATGGCATAAAGCTTCACTATTTTTGTGCTTTTAAAAAATACTTTACTTATTTAATAATCTCAATCCTTTGGTAAAGAATTGAAAATTAATTAAAAATTATCAAAAATTCAAAAACCCGACTTTCTTAAAATTCAACATTTTCTCTTCTCTTTTATGGCATAAAGCTTCACTATTTTTGTGCTTTTAAAAAATACTATACTTATTTAATAATCTCAATCCTTTGGTAGAAAATTGAAAATTAATTAAAAATTGTCAAAAATTCAAAAACCCGACTTTCTTAAAATTCAACATTTTCTCTTCTCTTTTATGGCATAAAGCTTCACTATTTTTGTGCTTTTAAAAAATACTTCACTTATTTAATAATCTCAATCCTTTGGTAAAGAATTGAAAATTAATTAAAAATTATCAAAAATTCAAAAACCCGACTTTCTTAAAATTCAACATTTTCTCTTCTCTTTTATGGCATAAAGCTTCACTATTTTTGTGCTTTTAAAAAATAGTTTACTTATTTAATAATCTCAATCCTTTGGTAAAGAATTGAAATTTATTAAAAATTATCAAAAATTCAAAAACCCGACTTACTTAAAATTCAACATTTTCTGTTCTCTTTTATGCCATAAATCTTCACTATTTTTGTGCTTTTAAAAAATACTATACTTATTTAATAATCTCAATCCTTTGGTAGAAAATTGAAAATTAATTAAAAATTGTCAAAAATTCAAAAACCCGACTTTCTTAAAATTCAACATTTTCTCTTCTCTTTTATGGCATAAAGCTTCACTATTTTTGTGCTTTTAAAAAATACTATACTTATTTAATAATGTCAATCCTTTGGCAAAAAATTGAAATCTATTCAAAATTATCAAAAATTCAAAAACCCGACTTTCTTAAAATTCAACATTCTCTCTTCTCTTTTATGGCTTAAAGCTTCACTATTTTTGTGCTTTTAAAAAATACTATACTTATTTAATAATCTCAATCCTTTGGTAGAAAATTGAAAATTAATTAAAAATTGTCAAAAATTCAAAAACCCGACTTTCTTAAAATTCAACATTTTCTCTTCTCTTTTATGGCATAAAGCTTCACTATTTTTGTGCTTTTAAAAAATACTATACTTATTTAATAATGTCAATCCTTTGGCAAAAAATTGAAATCTATTCAAAATTATCAAAAATTCAAAAACCCGACTTTCTTAAAATTCAACATTTTCTCTTCTCTTTAATGGCATAAAGCTTCACTATTTTTGTGCTATTAAAAAATACTTTACTTATTTAATAATCTCAATCCTTTGGTAGAAAATTGAAAATTAATTAAAAATTATCAGAAATTCAAAAACCCGACTTTCTTAAAATTCAACATTTTCTCTTCTCTTTTATGGCATAAAGCTTCACTATTTTTGTGCTTTTAAAAAATACTATACTTATTTAATAATCTCAATCCTTTGGTAGAAAATTGAAAATTAATTAAAAATTATCAAAAAATCAAAAACCCGACTTTCTTAAAATTCAACATTTTCTCTTCTCTTTTATGGCATAAAGCTTCACTATTTTTGTGCTTTTAAAAAATACGATACTTATTTAATAATCTCAATCCTTTGGTAGAAAATTGAAAATTAATTAAAAATTATCAAAAATTCAAAAACCCGACTTTCTTAAAATTCAACATTTTCTCTTCTCTTTTATGGCATAAAGCTTCACTATTTTTGTGCTTTTAAAAAATACTTCACTTATTTAATAATCTCAATCCTTTGGTAAAGAATTGAAAATTAATTAAAAATTATCAAAAATTCAAAAACCCGACTTTCTTAAAATTCAACATTTTCTCTTCTCTTTTATGGCATAAAGCTTCACTATTTTTGTGCTTTTAAAAAATACTATACTTATTTGATAATCTCAATCCTTTGGTAGAAAATTGATAATAAATTAAAAATTATCAAAAATTCAAAAACCCGACTTTCTTAAAATTCAACATTCTCTCTTCTCT